TATATATATATATAATGTGTGTATGTGTATATGAACGTATATGTGTATATATATATATATATACGTATATATGTAATATTCTGTCTCTTGATATTTTTTCTTCATAACAAATAAGTAAATTAAATGATTGCATTTTGGAGTAAATATATAATGCAAATATGCTACAAAGCAATGTTCTCCAAATGCACAATATAGAATACATATATACATATTATACATATATATATATATACAGGATGTCTGAAAAATTTTGACACAGCCGAAGTATAGAGATAGATTGAGTGAAACTGAATAGAAAAGTTATTTGCCATTTTGCGAAATTCGCAATAGTTAATGAGATATACATTAATAAATTTGAACCAATGAGCGCGTGGGAAGCAGAGTTGCAAGATCGAGCAGAGAGCAACGAGAGCATCGAGCGGTGGGGGCACGCACACAAGCCAGAACCGCCGTCTGTGTGCGTGACGTCACATTCATTTATTAATGTATATCTCGTTAACTATTGCGAATTTTGCAAAATGGCAAATAACTTTTCTATTCAGTTTCACTCAATCTATCTCTATACTTCGGCTGTGTCAAAATTTTTTAGACATCTTGTTTATGTATATATATATATACAATACAGTAATGCCTCGAAAATTTTCCGTATTTTTGCCACGATATTTTTCCGAAAGTCATCCCCACTACTTCCAAAAGTATTTCACCAAGGCTTCGCGTGAATTGGTCGAAATGACTATGCGGCAATCGAGCTCGTGGTCGATCTGAATTAGAGGTAACAGCCGGCAATTTTCGGGACACATACCTCCCTCGAAATTTTTCCGCTCGCGAAAGCGAGGAGCGGAAAAATAGCAAAGCACTACTATATATGTATGTATGTATGTATGTATGTATGTGTGGTATGTATGTATATATACATACGTTCGTACGTATGTATGTGTATAAAATCTTGGTAATAAATTGTATCGCGAGAAACTGAACAATTGCTACATAAAGCGTAAATGATATTAATTATACTTTTTAGGCTGCTGCTTCTTCGACAATTGTATTTTCAGGAATTGTAGATTCAATGTTAGCTAATTCACGTTCAGTCTCAGTAGTGACCAATGTCGGACTGTGTGAAATCGTGTTCTTTTCGTTACAATTGGCTTCCACCAAATCAGTTACACTAACGCTATCGTCTATGTTATCTTTTTTAATAGGCAACGCATCAACGTCTATATGAACATCCGCATTAATGTTATTTTTGCTCTTCTCGTCAGCATTGTTCACTATTCTATCCGAAGCTTGACTTTTCTGACTCGATTCTTCATTCAGTGTAATCGATTGTTCGGCACTATCAAACTGTCCCGGTATAGATTTTTCGTCACTTTCCATTGCGTTACTATTCTTGATTTCTTGTTGTTCAGTCTGTTGCGTGATATTACTACCAGGTTGATTATTATGTTGATATTGCTGAGTATTTCTACCTCTTCCTCTGCCACTTTGCTGATTATCAGGTGGTGGAAGAATAGGTATTGCAGCTTTTGGTCGTCGCAGAGGAGCAGTTTGTTGTTGCTGTTGTTGCTGCTGAGCAGGACTATAGTAAGTACACCCTTGTGGTTGAAACAGCTCTTGTGGTGGACCTTGAGGCTATAATTTCAAATGTACAATAAAAATATATAGAAAATCAAAAAATAAGAAATATATTTCCTATTTGTAAGAATATTCTTTTCTTATCATATTTAAAAATAAACTTATTGTTTCCACCTGCACTGAAGGATTATATCCTTGGTAGCCTTGAAAGTTCGGTGGAAATGTTGGGCCATTTGGCCCGGGAACGTAATTGATTATACTAGGAGGCGCCGTTTGAGGAGGTATAAATTGTGGCGGTGGTACTAAGAATGGTGGTGGTGCATAACTAGCTGGCTGTCCACCAGGAGGTAAAGAAATAACGGGCTGTCCTCCCATAGGTGCTGTAGCTGGACTCACAGGAGAAGATTGTTCGAAATGACCTTGTGGATAGCCTGCAAATTAAAACATAAAAATACAGAAGGAAACTCTAATTAAACCTTTGTTGATTTAGTAAAGCGCGCAAAACATACAGTAAGATAGTAAAAATTTTATCAAAAAAGTATTTATAAAAAAAAGAAATACAATTTTGTATTTTTCTCTTTCTTACCTTGAGATTCTAGAACGGCTCTTGAGTTTCCAGCTATATGTATGCATACGTGACATTAAATATTATGCTCCTATATGTATACGTGAAAACATATCACAATGTATCAATATGTTACCTTGAGGTGAAAAATATCCATGTTGGGCGTGTTGAGAAGGATAATTTTGTTGTGCAGATGTTTCTGAAATCGGTCGTTGACGAAGACTGGAGTATCGTTTAGGTCTGTTTCCAGAACCATCTTGTTGTTGTTGTTGTTGTTGTTGTTGTTGCTGCTGCTGCTGCTGTTGCTGCGGTTGTATTGTTTGCTGCGAATGTGTTTGTTGTTGATGTGACTGTTGTTGCTGCATTCTAGGCGGTACTGCATTTGATCTATGTTGATTGGAAGATGGGAAGTAGCTTTCTAAAATATAAAGGTAGAAATTAAAGAAAACTATAAACAATCACTATAAATTTAATCTAATAAAAAAAACTTCTCTTATAAATAAATGTCTTTAAGAATTTCATTTTATTCTACTTCCTAACATACATCACAAAAACTTACTGTTATGTCTTGCAGGCTGATGATATTGACCACTGTCATTAACATTGACTTGTTTCATATCGTGAACGAGTTGATGCTCGTCATTGTGTTGCGCAGGAGGATTTCTTCTATTCTCAACCGTGACTAGACCAAAACCACGTCCTTTTGATTTATTCTCTACTATTCTGTTAGTGACCATGTTGTTATTAGCATTTGTTTTGAAACCTCTTCCACGCGTCCTACTCGCCGCTAAGCTTACAGATTCTTGAAGATTGCTTCTCTTACTGGTCTCTCTTGGCAATAATTTGGCATTAGTTGTATCATTGCTAGATCCGATATTTCCATTTGCATTTTGATTTTGAATAGCATGTTTGTTATCTTTTTTCCAAGTATTAGCAGATTCATCTAGCGATTTGTTTTCATTTCTGTGACAATAGTTTTACTCAAAGTTAATCTTTTCAATTTTTTTTCAAAAGTTATGTTTTATAAATATAACCCAGATACATACGTGACAGTATTAGAGACAGTAAGTGTGGATTTTACATTGTCCTGTTGAGATTGAAGTGGCGGAAAATTTTGAGTTTTATTTTGTGTTTTACTTTTGCTGCTATACCAAGCAGATGAAATCACAGGTTCTTCCATTTTATTTAAAGCATTCTGTGCCAATTTTAAAGAAAAATAAAACAAAAAGATATTTAGTAAGAATTATACTAATTGTGGTGTTTAAAGCATATTATAATTTTCTTATTCTTTACCTTATTATTACCAAGAGCAGGAAACTCTTCATTATTTTTGTGAAAACGTCTGTTTCCTCTACTAGAAGTAGTCTTTCCATAAGCATCTTCATCTTCCCAATTTCTTGTGTATTTGTTGGGTCCACGACTAAAAAAATACATAATACTGTACAAAATACATAATAATAACATATATACAAAAATATATTATAATTTCCAACAGAATTGAGAAAGAATCGAAAGAAAGATAAAATTAGTGGTTCTCTACCCGTATCTTCTTCTCCTCCTAGCTCTAGGAGGTCCTTCTTCATTTCTAATATCATAACCATATGTTGCTATTAGTTCTTCAGGTTTTTTGGGGGCTTGTTCTTCATCATTGTATCGATCATGATCCCATTTGTCTTCCTTGTCCTTCCATACTTTCTTTTCTTTAGTTTTTTTCACATTTGTTTGCACTTCTGTGTTGGCATCAGTTACTTCATCAGTTGTTCGATCATCATGTTCATAAAATGTTCCCCGTTTTGGAATATATTGTGGATTACGTCTATCCTCATCATCAGCCAACTTCTTTTGTGGTTTCTCTTCTTCCTGACCATCTCCACTTTCTCGTAATTCCCTACCTTCTTGTGACTCAGTATCAGAGTTACTTTCTGAATCTTCATAAATATCACATTCTGAATCCTGATGTCCATCAGTCTGTTCACTACTCTATAAAAAAAAATGTATTACTTTTAATGTGATTTTTTTTGTTACTAATGTGTCTAAACTGGCTCTGTGTATGTGTGTATTTATAAAATTCTTGAGAATTGTATAAAAAACCAGATTTATAATTTTAATATCTTTAACAATATATCCTAATCATCTCTTATGTAAAATACAGTGAAGTTTCTTGTAACTTAAATTATTGAGACCAAGCTTTTCTTCTATAAAAGATAGAGTATATAAAGTAACAAAGTAATAAACATATATATATTCAAATATGTAATACACTCGTATATACATACATGAGATATGTATATAAATACATACACGCGCACAGTATTTCTTTATTTAGTTTTAAAATTATTATAACTTTCTTTAGCATACAGTTATGTCTATATATATATATATATACATA